TTTAAAAATATTTTTTAAATTAAATGTGATTATTATTTTTAATAAATATAGTTTAAAAAATAAAATTTAACTTTTTTATATAAAATAAATAATATTAAATAAATTTAACTAAATTTTTAATATATAAATTAAAATATAAATAATTTTACTTGTATATATTTTTTTTTTACGTTTTTCAATACAAGATTATAAGTCACATTAATGTTCTTGTTCTTTGAGTCCTATACAATTTTAAGAGAAAAATATTTATATATCAATAGATGTGTGTATATATATGTCAATCATCTAACAAATTTGAAAATAATTCAAGTCATATTATTAATTAACTAAAATAATCAAGAGATGCATTAAGTGTAATATCTTTTCTAGACTATAGTTTTTTGTTTAAGATTTTTTCATACTTTTAAAAATTATTTAATACGAATATGTTAAATTTAAAAATATTTTAGGTTAATATTTTAATTAAAAATAATTATAGAGAACAATTTTAAATAAGAGTATATGGAAAAATTAATTAATATCAAAATTTGAAAATAAAATTAATATAAGGCCGAAACTACTAGTTGACCAAAAAACATGTTTTGATAAGGCATAAGAATCGACCAATGTAGGATAGGCGTGGATTTTAATGTTTTTACGACGTGTTGGATTTGTCGGTAAAAATTGAATCTGCATAGACCTAAAAGAAATTTATTGTTTCAAGAAATGACACTGATCCAAATATGCATTTAATTGAGAGCAATTCCAAAATTTTGTGCACGACTCGAGTCGGTGAAAATCTTGTCTTTGCCGACAACCCTTTACGGCTTGCAGGCTGCCTTGAAATGTACTACAAAATCCAATTGGTGAGATTTCAACCCATTTTAATTAATTCAGAAGCTCTAGGACTCACCTAGAAAGTTTAAATACAATATACCCAGTCTTATATATAAAATTATTAATTACTTTAACATAATTTGTTTAAATATAGAGAGAACTATATATATTGTTTATAATTACCATCCCTTGATACAATATGCATTTCCTAAAAGAAAATATTAAATGCTTGAAAACTTTACTCAGCTGAGGACAAATATCCTGTATAGTTATATATCTCTTTTCAAGCCTCTGAAATATTTTAAAATAGTATGTAAGCAAGAATCATTATAAGTTTATCAAACTACTGAAATGGTAGATTTACTAGCAGTTGCATAATTTTAGAATGATTTTTTTTCGCTTATATTAATTTTATTTATTTTAAACAGTTTTGTTTTCTGAAAAAATACATATAATTTATACTTAAAAAAAATGTGTTTACGCCTTCTAAATATAGACATAGTAGAATCTTGTTTGAATGTTTATAAAATTCTTTTTTTTTTTATTTTTAAATCTTTTCCCGTAACATATATAAGATGGTAATTATAGAATAAGTAACTACATTTACTAAGCATTATTTATTGTTATTTTAAAGATGTACTTGTTTATAAATCTATCCTAATATATAAATAAGATAATTTTTTTTATAGAATTATTTATTATTTTCACTTTTAGTTAGATCATTATATAGAGTACTCCTTAATTGTTTAAAAATTTTAAAAAATTTAATGTCCTTTTATTTGCACACTCTTTGAACTTTTTAATATAATATTATTTTAAATTTTATGACATAATTAACTGATATGTAAAACGTGAAATTTATAATATTAAATTTATTAATATGAAAATTATAAAATATAATTGATATTTGAATGAAAAGAACTATAAACACAATAAAAATTATATAAAAAAATATATATTATGAATAATTAGAAAATAATATGAAATTATTTATTTTAAAAATTATATTTTCATCATATTTATAATATATTTGGTTTGGATTTCAATTACAACCAATAATTTTCATATAAGTGAGTATTATAACAAATTTCAAGTATTGAATTAACCAAATAATATTCAAAAGGATTAAATTGACTTTAATTTAAAAGATAAAAGACAAAAATAATTTAACTAAAAAAATTACATAAATAAGTACTTTTGTCTTTGATGAAAGTTCTAAAATTAAATATCGCATATTTTGAAATTGAAACAAATTAGCCTTTAAGATTTCAAAATATGTAATCTATGGATAGTTTTGGTCCCAATGTTATAAGCACCACTTGATTTGATAATAACAAAATTTGCTTATGTGGAGCTTGAAGTACCACATTAGATATGCATACCTTGTAGATCAATATTTCTCCATGCAGAAAATGACATAAGAGAGATATATGCTATTCTTTCAGTATTTCACGTGATACAGAACATGATACTTTCATACATGCTCACGGATTGAATTCCATATTAAGATAAAATTAAACTTAAATTAATTATATTTTATAATAGTTTGATTTGGTTTGAATTAAAAAAATATAAAATCAATCAATTTAAAACAAACCAAACTGATTGAAATAAAGTTGACTTAGTTTAAGTTGTCTATTTATGATAAAAAAAATTATTATATTTTATGTAATATATATTTTTAGTTTTTTTTTAAGTTCTCGATATTTTGTCTTTCAAATAAATTGTAGTACTAATTTACTCATTTAATTTAAAAATATACTACTTTTTATGTTTAAATATTGGATGCAGTAGACATATATGAACACAAGAATTGTTTTTTTTAACCCATAATCAAACTTGATATTTATAACACTTTAGGCACTCAACTAATTGAATTACATATCCAATTGGTAAAATAGTTAAATATGATGAATTTTATACAGTAAAATAAAAAAATAATCTAAAAAAACTAAAGCTTATGCTGCCCCCGAATTAATGATTGAACTATGCACCACAGGAGCTTCAACTAAATTTCGAATGAAAATAAATTGCATTAAGCACATTTGGATTGGTTTTTAGATACCCGATATCCCTATATATATAATTATGAAAATAAAATGTCCTTGAAATTGTGATAAATATTCTCTTGTAAATAAAAGCCTAGGCTGACCTGGGCTCGATATAGAAGCTATTTTCATGGTAAGATACAGTTGAGTTGCATTGTGTAAATAATATAAATTAATGAAAGAGGAAGAAGAGAAAAGAAAATGGTTAAATGCATTATCTCTATCTAGTCCCAATTGTTGATTGAGTTGGGTTTTAAAGCGACGGATCCCTGGCTGGCTTGGATTTTTGTTACTGCAACTGTGAACTAGATGCTATAGCTAGGGACTAACAGAGTACCAAAAACGTAAGTGAGCAACAGTAGGAAACTACCTTATTTACAAACTTATTACCACCCGTGATCTCCCAACATATATACATATATATTTTTTAATTAATTCAATTCACACTCTTT